CTCACACAACCGCGAAACACGGACGCGCGCGTACACCCACACACGTTAAAACTGGCTCCCGCCGTTACATACGTACACTGTAACAAGTTGCGTTGCACTTATGTACAAAGGGCGCTCCATGTGACTCACGTGCTCGCATATGCTACCGGCGGTCTCCGTCCCTCTCGCTCTTCCTCCCACTGTTGATCTTTCCTCTTTTCCCTCCGCGTCCTATTCTATTTATTTCTCTCTCTCTCTCTCTCCCTCTCTCTTTTTGCTTCTTCTCATTCGTACATATACATACCCACATACATATACACGTAAACACATTATACATGCCGCGTTTCTCTCTTTCTGCTCTCTGTGCTTTTCTCTTTGTCGGTCAACGTCTCTATCCCACTCCACCGTTGGAGTGTGCACATAGCTCGATCCAGATATACACACCGAAGTGCACACACGAGACCACGAAGAGTGCATGCGGGTGTTGGCCACGTGCGCGATGCACTTTTTGCTCGCGGGGCAACCTTCGCCTTTTATGCGTCGTGCGCGCGCGGGGCCGCGTTGGAACTATATACTCTTTTCAGTGATTTGCTACGACGAGCTTTTCGGTATACGCCGTTGAACAAAGGTAATAGGAAAACCGCGACAGTAAGATCACCGTGTATTTTTCGTAAAGTGGAAATGCTTCGTCGAGCTTCCCTTTGATAATGCTGGCTTAAACAGAAACGTGTAATAAATCGATTCTCTCTCGAGACTTTTGTAATATAGTATTCCTTGAAATTCTCGAATTAGATAATTCTTAAAATATAAACGTAGCTTTTTATATATATATATATACACACATAAATGTAAGTTATATCACTATTTATTTTCAATCTTCCCACGTTTCCTATAACAAAATCCATCTGCTATTTTCAACAGATTTATAGCTTTTAATTCGCGTAATAACCAACAAATCGATTAGAAACAAATTTCGAAACAAATATATGACTCCGAATTACGGATAACTATTGCCAAGTTCTTCGTGAAATCGTACATAAAGTCGCACATATAAAGACATAAATCCTTCAACATCACGAGTTTGGCATAATAAATATCGAATTCGATTATTATAAATCTCTCTCCGTAAAGGTTCCAGCGTGAGCGCGGGTGTTCTCACGCGGGAACCGTCGAATGACATTTGGAAAAACAGGTAGAAAACCAACGGGGCGTCGATACCGCATCTCTACGACGCATATATTTTGCAAGTGGTGGAAAGAGCGCGAGCGCTTGGCAGTATCCCTCTTTCTTTTTTCTCTATCCTTCTTACAAGTTGCAGCGACCGTTGCTGCTGTTGCAGCGCTCTGCAGCAACGAAGATTTCGCGACGGCGAGCGGCTTTAATCGAATATAGGCGATGTGTGTGCCGTTGCACAAGTGAAAGAGCCCCGAGCCATTATGGACGTTTACTTGAAATGTCAAGGATGCAACCACGTGTGCTTGCGCGGGAAGATGACGGAAAGACAGAGAAAGAGAGAGAGAGAGAGAGAGGAGAGAAAGAGGAGAACGAGACAATGACAGCCGCGAGGCATGGTAGAATTGTAATTTTGTCATGCATGACTCGTACGCGTCCACGGTGCAAAATGAAAAGTGGCCATATCTAAATGTTTCTGGAACTATACGGTACGGTGAGCGCCTTTCCGCGGGGAGCCGCTTTCACTGCGGTCGGAGTCGTGCGATGCGCTTTCAAGGTTGCAACCGCGGAGTGCAGGAGCATGATATCGCGATATGTTTCGTAACAGGCGACAAGTGTTCTTCTCGATGCTCGGTTATCTGTAAGGAGCAAGCATGACGTCAGCAACTCGCAGGATTGATATCCGATTCCGATCATGAAGCGATATTTATTTATATAATTAACTCCGTTGCATCAGACAGTATTAGGATTTTTTTATTCTCGAACTAGAGAAGGGATGACGTGGTCGCTTAAAACTGCTAGTCGATGATATGATGGAGAAGAGGAAGATATATCTGAACGTCAAATAAGCGACGACATAAGCGCAATGGAAAGCGTGTCACTTAGTAGCGAGAGACAGCGCGTCAAGACTTTATCGTCGGACTGCAATGTTCTACGAAATCGTAGCCGGGGTAGATAAAAACGCGCATACATATCCAGACAGGAGACAGGCAGTCTGCTGTGGCGCGTGATAACGCACGTTTTCCAAGCGTAGATACTGACGTATATGTTTGTCGAGCTTGGAACAGTTGATTTCAAGGCCTGACGCCTATCAATATCTACGATTGTCAATGTCGTTGTATCACGATCGGCCTAAGAAATCTTATGCGTAATAGTTTAACAGACGTGATCTTCACGCCAAAGAAATTGTAAACACTGACATGTACATAATTCTGATATACATAGATTTATATTCTAATTAAATGAATTTATTTTTATATCTTTATTTCGAATAAGAATATTTTTTAATCGTTTATTCGAGAAATTGGAGCGAATGTCATAAATTCTTACGATATCCAGATAAAAGTTGCACGTGCCCAAGGGTATTCTCTCGTAATGTGCGCAAATGTCGAAACTATAAAGAGAAGGCTGTCGGATCACCCGATATAAATTTTAAAACGATCATTACCCAACAATGTCGCTCTTGCCATATTCGGACTACGTTACCTTGCAGCGTGTACTTAGTGGCATTAAACCTTATATGCGAAGTAACCGTCTCAGCGCACACTCCGGTCACTGACGATTTGCCATTGTGTAATGTAATTTGCGTGTAATCAATTGTCGTTATGAAGCGTGGCGATACGAGCGGGAAATGTTATTACCGTTCGTTGGCGGACGGTAGCTATAAAATCACGGTCATCAATTCAAGTATCACGTGACATTGTTGTCTGATAAATGTATTCGAGAAAGAATCTCGAAAGAATCTCTTAATTATGACATACGAGCCGATCAATCCAATCATTGCTTCTTTTCAACTTCCGTCTATGTTAATACAGCAATCTGTTTCGCGATTATCTTCGTACACACTCAAAGAATACAAAAATCTTTATAGAGCGAATCTTGAAAAGAGTTTCCCTTTTTTGTTCCATAGATCGAGCGCCGCGTCGATCCGATTCTGGGTCTCAGCAACCTCTGGTGATCTGGCTGCAGCCCGGCAACGTCGAAGACTTGTCGAGCTTGCCGCTACCAGACCTGGTGCAATCGGCCGTGGATCAGCTGCCACCGCCGTCGCCCCACGTGACAGTTTCTGTCCCCAGCAGCCCGATGAGAGACGCGACTTTCCAGTTCCCTGAGTGTAACGTCAACAGCAACGGTGCACCGTTGCCGAGCCCAAGGCCACGGCCACGAAGACGTTTTGCCTCGGAGAGCTCCGTCATGGAGACGGGCCCGATCGAGGTGAGCAACTGCAACGGTACCACCTGTCGCTGCCACCTCGGCCTGATCCTCAACGAGAGGCAGTCGTGGACGAGCGTGGGTGCCAATCTCAGGAACATCGCCGGTGATTTCCACGCGTGCAGGACCAAGGTCAGTGTTACACGCCAGTCACGCGTCGTTACTTCGCATTGAGATCCGCAATTCCGATTCGATCGAGTAGCGGGGGAGGAATGCAGATTACGGATCTCGATGTGGAGTCACGCGTTGTTTCTTCCATATTAAAATATACATTCCTCCCCCGCGATTCAATTGCATTAATATAACGGTATTTATATCGAGAATGATTAGAATATTGTAAATAGTATCTATAAATATCTGTGTGTATCAAGTTTCATGCTCATTTATTATTAGAGATTAAGTTTTATTTTTGAGTCGGGTTATCGACAATTTTGAACACACCGTTTTATCGCTTTTCTCTTCGCGTCGTCGGTGCCACCGTTGATGGCGTAATTCAGAAGCGTTTATGGTGAGAGGTGTACAGGTGTAAAAACGCCATGCGTAAAAATTGTACGGCACGCGTTTTGCACACACAAAAGCCATCATGTAACTTTTCACTCTACGCATCGCAATTTCATCTTCTCCATGAAGGCTTTTATTTGTCATAAAGTTACCCTTGTGTCGTGAGTATTATAAAATGTAACGAATGCACGACAAAGAATTCTCCGAAAGATTAGTTTGAAATTTTGTTCGCCCTCGAAATCCCTAAATTCCTATCGCTTAATTTACAAATTATATCACAAGTTTCATAAACGCATACGTGTGTCCTTTATTTTTGTGAATGTTATAGATACTCTTATGTAAACTTTTTCAAGAGATGACGAATCCAAAAAATATTCTAATCCAACATTAAAGTTAACGTTTTCTTTATTTATTCGAGTTTTTATTATCTGAATTCTTCACAAAATTCCTACATTAATCTAATCTGATCAGACCGTATCATTATTTACCTCGATACTTATTCATGAGTATCGATTTCGAGATAGACTAGTATCCAGATTTGTCTTCTGATATTCAGGATTTGATAGCGCCATGAATGATTGAATATCTTTCATTCCGCCGCGAAACTTTTGGGCGCCTCACTACGATGGAGTTTGCAGTTAAAGGTGTTTCTTCTTTAAGAAAGATAGAAACTATCGTCGTTGCGGGGTCATAAACGCGAATTTAGTTATATCAGGGTACCAGCGATGTCCCACGAGTGCAATAAATATCAGCTCACCACCGTCGAGACATCTAGTATTGCCCCCCGTGTGTATAGCCCGGGTGCCACACTAGCACTTCATCAAAACTCCACCCCTCCCCTTCCTTCCCTCTCGTAGTGGTCGTTCGATCAAATATGTATCGCGGACTGATATGGTCCTTCTCTGGTATTTTACGACGGTTCTTCTCTTGTTCGCGGAAGAAAGAAAGTGGCGATTGGGAATTGGCTGGCGAATAAATAGAGAAATGCGAATCGAAGATATACATTATGAACATAGAAACGTGCACGATGTCATCATCTTCGAGATTAATGCAGTAATGAAACGTGTCTACGATATTATTTTGATGGATTGACATTCTATATATGCGAGACTATATTCCTAGCATTTTTATTAAAAAGAAGTAATACCTATCATCCATGTTGCGGATTAATTATAAATATCTCTCTTCTAAAAATGTCGGGAAACTCATTAAAAAGACGAGGCAATCCTTCTTTCTTGAATATTTGAATTTCAAACGCTTATCCAATTATGAATGCAATTTCCTGTTGTCTATTATTAGTCAAGACAAACATATTGCGCGATCAATATTATGCTGAGTCGTTTCATCCGGCTCCCTGTAATACGTGAAAGAAACGGGCATAATTAATGCGGAAAGTTTCTGATTATTGTCGCGACAGTTACGAGATATCCACTCCTTCGTTGAAAAGACTACGGAGGGTCGTTCGATCAAATATGTATCGATGAACGAGAAAATTCCCCTCGGTTTTACGATGACTCTTATTTGCGGTTGCGGATTGAAAGAAAGTGAATGGCAGCAGAATGAGACACTAATAGGAAAAGTAAGAAGAAGAGAAAGTATACGGGGAGAAGGATAGTAAGATGAACAAGGTGGAAAGAGCCATTTCTCTTTTATTCCGCCTCGCTTTTATCCACTTTAAAGGTCCGCCGGCGTGATACCCAATCCCGGAACGTCTAATTATTGCTGGTTAAGTGCCGGTAATTGAAGAGGGGCGAACAGACCCGTGAAATTGAAGAAATCTCTTCGTCTCGCCTGTTCGTAGGAGATTCGATACCGATCAGTTCCTCGACTTGGTAACTCGAGTAGCGTCTTGTTGATAATAAGAATAGAGGATCTCCTAGAGCCATCAGGGTTGGCTTCATCGCTTTTCTCTTCTTCGCGCGCTCGAAGAAATTGAAATGTTAATTGAATAATGAAGATTAATACCACATTAGCAACATCGTTCGTGGATCAAAACGGGCTGATCTTGTAGCTGACATCTCGTTATATCTATCATCTTAAAAAAAATTTACATTGAAATTTAATTATTTTATCATTCAATAACCTACACAATAAAAGTAACTTGCTTTTTGCGAAAAATTATTTAACACTAAAGTGGATTATATTCTAAACACATAGAAATAATTTTTAAAATACTCGTCATCGAATTGCGGCTTTTCTAACACGTCTAACGAGCTTTTCGTAGATTTCCGGAAATATGTCGCAAGTCACGGAAACGATCTTCTCGTCTCCCATGCCCCTCTGCGCGCAATGGTCACGGGAAACTACTGATGGCACGGTGCTTTACATATGCATGGAGAGTAAGCGAGCATGTAGCGGCTAAGTGGCCACATCCCCTTACGTGAAAGTTAAGTGGGCATGGCAGCACGAGCCGTGGCCACGGGCCGAGAAAATTATCTTCAATTATCTCGTGCAATCGGAGCTCTTCCCTTCCGCCCTCCGCTTGTTCACTCCTACCTCGCGCGTTTTGTCTATCTCGCTCTTTCGATTAGCCTCTCGGCCGATCGTCACTTTTATACCTGCATACGGTAATCGAATAGTTATACGCGTTCTCGCCATGTTTTCGTTGACCTCCGGATAGAGAGGGTTATACACCTGGTAACTTGCGTTTCTATGTAATACAGAATTATGGGTGAGAGTGGCCGCGCTCGTAAAACGCGGGATATAGTACTTCGACGTGTCAGAAACAGCGAAATAGCTGACTCCTCGTGTATCGCTTGGAAAATTGAAGTCAGGCAATTTCCCGTGAGGGCATGCCGATAGGTACTGCGTACACTCCGCAAAACTCATTACTGACGAACACGTTAGATCCTTGCTTGTCGAAATTTTAGTTTAGAAGCTCCTAAATGATTCGATCTAATTTGTTTCCGCGTACTCGACAAGAAACGTACCATCTTCGCGGAATAACGTATACGTCTGCGACGGATCTCGTGGCGAAACGCGCGCTCACCTGACATTTGTCTACAGTCGTTTAAACGATCTGACCGACGCGCAAATTGATACATTAGTATATACCCTCATCGCGCAACGAGATAACGGATCTTTTTGCGATGGCGCAAGCCGAGGGCAAAGCACGTCGAACCACTGCTAAAAGAGAGGGAGGAGGGGGGGGAGAACCCGATGCAAGAAAGTCGATAGTTCTTCGGACCGTTCTTCGAGCCTACGCTCGTTGCACGCGAACCGCTTAACTCTCGTTTACGTCTTATTTTCACCTTCGCTGGTAGATACCTGCGACGTCACACTCCTGCAAATCCCGCAATCCTCTCGCGGAACACGGCTGCGCTACTGCGCGTAACCTGCGCGCAAATTTATAATGCTTTGTCATGCGCAGCACTCGCGGAAATTCCTGCTTGCCGTTCCCTCGCTACATTGGAAACGGGAAAATTATTATCGCACCGCGCCTGTGCGATTTCGCCCCACGAGGCAGCGATAATTTATATAATACTCATGCATCTCTTTAACGAGACACCTGTAATAGTAATAATGATTCGCTAGATAAGCAACTGCCTCGTGAAAAATAGTGAAAGTCGCGGATAATTTCTGCAATATGACGGTAACTGCAGGCTGCAACTAGTTATCACGTATGCAAGTATAGCCGTACTAATTAGCAATGATCGACGTTTAATTATTAGTTATTATCGGCCGTAAGCAACGATATTAACAGTTTTAATGAGAAGTTAATTGTTTATCTACCTTTGGAAACAAAATTGATCTTTCAAGAAATAAGATTGACCAAACAATCGAGCGTAACATTCGTTTCCGCGTGCATCTGGTTTTCGCGACGGCACTTTTACTATCGTCGACCGTTGCATCGCGCAGCTTGTTTTAACGACGTTGGCTACGGAGAGCGCATTGCACGTACCGAACGAGCGTGTCGACCGCAACTTCTGTTTTCCATCGGCTTTTTCTTACTTAATCTTCGCGGCGAAACCTTAGAACCGAGCGATTGGCCGTTTCCACGGCAAACCGCGCAATTACGTTGCACAATAATCTATCTTGTCAGTAGTCGCGCGCGGCACACGCTCGCGATCGTAAGCCTTCTCTATCATGCTGCGGCAAGTCCCCGACGACGGTGGAACGAGGATGGAAAAAGAAAGAGCGAGAGGAGCGTTTGGTTTAATCGCTCGCATCGCGCACTCTCGCGAAAGCCGCTCGTGCGTAATTGCCGATATTTTTTTTCCAGTCGACCGACAATTCGCGATAAATCGCCGCGAGCGCTACGCTTGACTCATAGGCGCGGTAATTATCCCACCGCTCGTAAATTGATTTATTTCGGGGATTGCGCGATGTATAAACCGAGAGACAGGCGTGCGAAAATTCTTACTTTATTCTCCAATTGTCTGTCTGTTTTTCTTCGATGCTTTGCCGGTGCAACAAACGTATCGATGGCTCGCGCACATGCGCGGAAATGCAATATATTGATTTTCCGTTCGCGATGCGTATTGAAGAACTGGTTGCGGTTGGCAGTACGGGCAATCACGGGGAAATTTACATTTTACGATTCATTCGTCACAAAGCAGAGTGCGTTGCGTCTTTTCTGCAATTTGCTTTCTAATCTGCATTCATGCATTTTCGTATACTTTTGATCGCAGTGGTTTTCTTTTGTGCGTGAAATGTTTTTACTGCCATTGCCGACCGATGATAGCCGACCTCGTTTTCTACTTTTTTTTTTTCGAATCCGGAGAATTGATTCACGCATCGTGACGATGCAATTTTCTTTGTGTGAACGTATATACAACACCGCGTATTTTAATTTACATACATAGATATATCTCTGGCATTTATCGCGAACGCATATAAAAAATGTATAAAAGGATATATCGCGATATTTCCTCTCTCGCTTTAAAATACTAATTAAAAAAACATTTCATGTATAAGTTTAATCTTATCGATTTAATCTTATCGGCAAGAGACATTTCTCGTATTTCGCTTTCTACAAAATAGTTTTGACATAAAATAAAATAGTTTTCTATATGCACACGAACGACTTGTAGCCAACCGTATTGCTCGAATGAGCGTTCTCTTCCGGACTGCAGGATTATAAAACGGCGTCATGGCGATATCTCTGTGGTTGTTCATACACGTAGAGGCTAACGACACGTACGTCCGCGGAGAGAGAAAGTCCATCTCGGTTACTGTTGCAGGTGTACCCGATCGGGGATCCTCGTACGCATTAGACATTAACGAACGTTGATCATGTCCCTTCGCCCTTCGCGGCGACTCACCCCAGTGTCAGTCAAAGCGCGATTCCGCGGCGAGGAAGGGACACTATTAATTGACGAGCAGAACGCTCCCACGAGCAGCACTCTCGCGCCCTCCCACATAATTCTCCCTTAATGTGACGTTCTCGTCTACTCCTCTTACTTTTCGCCCTATCCACATCCAAGATAATCTTTCCTCTCGCGCTTATACGCGCCAACGACGAATCGAATGTTTTTCCCCGTGCGTGATTGCAAGGGTGTGAGAGAACATGTATTCTCTCCCTTTCTCTCTCTCTCTCTCTTCTTCTTCCTTCGTAGGGTCGAACACTGCCCAGATATTATGGCCATCCCATAAAAGCCCACCGCCTTGGTGATTGGACTTTCCCCGGGCGTTTATTATTGCACGTCCGGTCACGGCGAGTGGATTAAGACGAGACGGGAATCGGAAGTCGCGGGTCGAAGCTGAGATAACGTCGACGGGAGGCGGGCAGAATGAAGAAACAAAGGGAACCCTCCGGAGTTAATCGTCCTGCGGCAGGAGATCATTCTTTCACGCGAGATATTACAAGAGCGTGCTATCAAGATTTGCGATAATTTTCTCTCAGACTTTAGCTAGGTTAATGTAATGGATTTTTTATGCGTTTCTTGTATTATATTTTGCTCGGGAAAAATTGTATCTGTATTTTACAAAAAATACATCAATTTATTTCGGCGTAAATTTACATCTTGCATCAAATTACAAATTGAACCGATGCTAAAAGAAGATTTTCTATATGAAAAATGAATTTTTACAAGTATTATCTCAAATGAATTTGCAAGAAATTTGTACAAGGCGTCTCGCATGAAGGATTTCGTATGTCTTTTTGTTTTAATACAGAATTCTTGCGATTCAGCTAATACGCGGAATCATTATACCGGCTTCATCCGAAAGTATCGCGAACTAATTGGGTAATAAGTATCGTTTATAAGTACATCCTAACGGAATTCCTTTTTGCGCGCGAGCGATTTATACGATTCTCTTAGCACGAAAACCTGCACTGCAGACGCAGCGACTTCACCAATACCAGTAGTCGTAGGTATTCAGTGCAACGGAATGGAAGTTAATTGGGTAATTAGTGTCGTTAATAAGCAAGCTTTAATTGAACCTTTTTTCCGGGTCGCGAGTGGTTGCGCGCGAGAAACAGTTTCCGTAAAGAAAACAGGGAGTCTGAGAGACGTAGACTTTAGCGACGCGATATTTCCCCTCTTACAACGCTGTCGTCGTTCCTCCGTGTAAATTCGTCGGAGTAAAGGGACTCGATAAAACGACCGCGTCGCGTTTTCCTCCTTTTTTTTCTTTTTCGTTGAAGGCTTAGCCGCAAGAGAGTGCCGGATCGTCGGTAATTCCGTCCAATTAGGACACTCCCAATTAGGAACCTTAACCCCGCACGTCGACCGTTGTTCCTTCCCATACCATTCTCACTCCCCGGATCTACTACTACGAGGAGAAACTTACGACAGGTCGCCTTCGCCAAATCTTCGCGAGAGTATCGGAGAAGTCTCGTTACGTCCATTTACTGTTTAAATATCTATTTTCACAGAGACACACATTTAATGGTATTGCGATCTAATCATTATTAGTTATTTTATTTTGTCTACGTGCTTCGTCATCAATATGCAACTTGGACACATTTTTTTTCTATCTTACACCCGTACTCTTCATAAAAATACATTGTTGTCGGCGGAGGGTCAAAATTAATAATTGATTATCAGCATACTTCAAATATTGAACGTTAACAACATTTCATTCTATTAGAATTGAAGAAAACAATACTGAGCGATCAATGTTGCTGCTTACTGTTGCAGGACGCCGAGATCGAGAAATCGACGCTACCGGTGATCGGTCCAGGTTTGAACGGTCGCAACAGCAACTCGTCGTCCACCGACAGCCTGCTGTCGCTGTTGATTCCGACGCCGTTACGAGAAACCCTTTGGGCAACGGTGGCTCTATACCTCGGCTGGAGACTTGTCTCCCGTCTGCGATAGATGCGCCGATTTCGTCCAACCGTTCTGGATGATCCTGCGGGCTCGATCGTCGATTGTGTCGACGACTAGAACGGCGAGATTGGGGGCTATAATTAAAACAAAATGGACGGACCGCCAGCACTTCTTTCCTTGTCTGCGATCGCGGACAGTCCTGTAAGGAATCCTCTGGACGGATCGTTTCGAGAGGAGAAGGAGGAAAAGGAGAAGAGGCAGTCCACGGCGCGTATTCCGGATCTCTCTATGTCATCGGATGATGGATTTAATTGAGGTAGAGCGCGTCGAGAAGACGAAACGTTCTTTTATTGAACATCCACTCCGATAATACGATTGTAATTTTATATTGTCTATCTTTGTATTTCGCGCCTGCGTTGCGCGGCTACGCGAGAATGCGCTTGATCGACTTTGATCGGTTCCTGAGGGACCATGCGACTGCAAATAAAATTTGATATCTTTGATCATGACGGTGAAAGTAGTGATAATTATTTGCTTCTGCGGCGTGCTTCTGATTTCCTTATAATTGATGATTTTAATTAATTGATTAATTTGATAATTGATTATGTAGTATGATTTATTTGGTAGTTGATAATTGATAATTAATAATTGTAATTAATAATGATGATAATGGATTGATTTTATAATAATTTTTATACTGATGATTGTGATAATTGATAATGATAACAATGATTGAGTTGATGAGTCATAGTTGCTCTCTACTATATGCTTTTTCATCCCTCCTTGGGGACGAACAGGTAGAATTTATATAAAAAGATCTTTAATTAGGAAGGTTGATTCCAAAAAAAAGTTCTTAAATATTATCTATTGATTAAATCGATGTCGATAAGAGAATCAACCATCCTATTTGCTTCATTGCTGTTTATCGAGAATTGCGTGTTATCGATAAATTGTGACTGTGATTGCCGCGGATGACGAAGCGAGGGTTAGCGACGACGGGACAGCGACGTCGAAGTACAAGTGCATTCTCGCGCGATGCAGGAGTTATTTTCGTACGTAGCGCTGTTCGTTCGTACCGATAGTTCATCCTGCGAATTCGTAGGCGAAGGGTGAAGAACGGGAACTAGCATTTTGCGGGGACAGGGGGAAGATAACCCGGGTGAGAGTAATCGAATTGCGTATTATGTGGCGATCGGACCCGAGACACGAGGAGGGAGGTATTAAGGGTGACGGGGGAAACTAAGGACGCGAGATCCAAAGAGGATTAAACCCAATAATCAAATGATGATCTCATTATGGATAAATAAAGAGAATTAAATAAAGTAGTGTGATTATATGGGAGCGAGAGAGAGGGCGGACCACACGTCCCCAATTCTCTGTCTTCTCTTCGCGCGTCCGTCCCTCTCTTGATCTCGCCAAGGTAGAAAGACTACTCTTCGGAACATGGCTTGTAGATAACGCGGTTCCCCGACCAGTAGCGGTCGACGGAGCAATTCTTGTTCAAGATTTTTTTAACGACGTCGCGCCACGATGATGTTTCACGCGAAGCTCGTTTATCGAATATATATTTATATTTTATAAATATATACTTTCTCGAAAAGAGACAACGAAGGTTTTTAATTTTGACAAAATCACGAGCCTAACTAATAGATCTGTTTCATCTGAATTACAATCATCGATTCACAGTTTATTATAATATAATCGATCGGCCTCGCCAAACATCTACGGTGCGCGTGCAGAATGTATGTATATAAAGAGACGTCGAGAGGGATGACGATTCCAAAAATATTAAGAGGATAGGGGACGAGCGAGGACGTAAGGTGGAGACAGGGGAGCAAACTTGTATATGCATAGAGGATTTATCTAAAGTAATAAAAACTCAGTAATAAGTCGATGTTATAATAATTAAAGTAGATAATCGATAGGCCGAGGATCGCAGCATCTTGATTGGCTAGCTGCGACTCCCGTGGACAGTTTTCAAATGATCTCCGGTAGCTTAGCTATTAGTAGGCACCCTCGTGACATGCGAGATGCCTTTCGCGGCACATCGGAAGGAATATTTCCTTCTTTCTCCTGTGCCCTTTCTAACTTCTATTTTCTCTTTCCTTCTTTCCCGTTTCTATCTTCTTTCTTCTATCGACAAAAACTGTCTATCGATTCTCTTCCTCTATAACTCACCTATCCTCAATCTTCTAAGAAGATCCCCTCCGTTTCACTTCCCTGCTTCGCAATTCCATGTTTATCGACGACAGTTCTTTACTGTTCTGTTGTGCGCGACGTAACGTAACGTAACGTAATCTCTGATCTCGAACTTAGTGTGTATTGGTAAGAATCATGTGTTGTGTTCGCTTGACGATCCAGAGTCTCAATTTTCATGGGCGAGCGGGCCCGAGCCTTCTCGTTTCGCGATTTCTCTTAGAATTCTAGATAGGAACGGCGGAAGGGCTAGCCTAACGAGTGAGGGGATGGGAACAATGTATCCTTGGGCTTTCTCGTTTGGTTTTAAACTATCGAGACCAAAACTATCGAGGCTGCTGTACAGTCGTCCCTGCGGGCCGCGCTTTCTCTTCTCCCCGAGTGCAAGTCTTTTGCGTTTTCCTTTGTCTCCCTATTAATAGGACGATCGTGACGTTACTCCGTCAAAGTATTCCAGTGTATAGGTCTATAGTATTTATTTGTAGGCGATACCATTTTTCTACCGTCTAATAGAGCCGCGTTTTGAGATAAATATATACGCGGAATACATATATATATATTACTGCCACTTCGAGATAAGCAAATCCTCGCCAGACGCTTCCAAACGGGAGCGATTTTGTAAAAAGTCAATAACGTCGGTGTCCATAACACGTAATTTCTAAAGATGAAAATAGTTAGAGACATTGAAACAGATATTTAAAAAAATAAAAGTATTTGGTACGCGCTGTAAGGAAAGCGTTATACACGGTGAGAAAGCTAACGCGTTATTCTAATCTCATTACGCGCGGATTGTAGAGTCTTCGTATTTTCACATTCTATAGCGCTTTATTCTGTCGTATTTTCGCGAGCCATTTCTCATCGTCAGGAACTCAGATCCAGTTCCGCGAAACGCGAGTCACCATTAAATCTAGCACACATTGAAATTATCATCGTATAATGCATACGTACTATTTTATTTCGTAAATTCAATTACCATCTAAAAAATGCATTTATCAAATTTATACGTGAATATATTTTAATATACAGTAAATAATAATTAACTTTTTTTTTTAAATTCGTTAAATATTTATTCGAAAAATAGTCGCATATTTTTGAAAGACCTATAATAAATATTTAATTCAAAATTTTTGAATTGAATTCTAAAAATGAGATTCTAATTTACAACAGTATTTATAATACAATTTTGACAGAAATCTTTGTCATATTTATTCGAAATTTTTGGTTTTCACAATTAGTAAGCTAAAATTTGATTAAATTGCCAAAATTTGAATAATATTCGCGGTAATCAAACATAAAACTTGCCAATTAAAAATATTAACAATCGTCACGAGAAATTTTATCTGAATTTAACGGTGATTCGCGTTTTACAGTCGGTAGAATTTCCAATCATCGATCGGGTTTCCTCTGTGCAGCTTGCTCCTTTTACGGAGAGAGCACGCAAAGGTACAAGATTATCATGTTATATACATTTGATATAGCTAGTGTTCGTCGTTGTATCGCGAGAGTCGAGCCACGAGCTAAGAGAGACAACTCTTTCTCGTGGAGGTTGTTGCATTGCATTCCGACCAAAGGGAAAATTCCCGTTTTCCTGCAGCGCGGTGAAACGAGACGTGAGAGGGCCTAAAAGAAAGGTCGCGGCCATTTAATCCTTTTACTTCGTAGATAGGGAAAGGCAGAGCGAATTCGCGAGCCCCCGCCGTTTATGGCCCGGGGGCGGATATATACACTCAATATAATATATATATATATGTGTGTGTCGGAGGAAAATTGAAAGTGAGAAAACACGGCGCATGTACATAGTCGCTTCTCTTCGGGGCCGTAAACGCAGTAATGAACTATACGATTTTTCTTTCCCGGTATATTTCTTTTTTTTTTCGTTTTTTAGAATTAATTGCTCTGTAGAAGCACTTAGATAGTATAGTCAGCCATATTGAGAGTATAATAATGATATATGGATAAACGTATATAAAAGTATATATATATAATGGAAGAAAAATATGTATATATATATAAAATATATATATATTTTAAATGGTATAGTTGGAGATATTACTGTTTCGAGAGATAACCTGATGGAGAGAAACGTATATTTCGAAGGGGCGCGAGCCCAGAGAAAGTATGACAGAGAGGTGATGTTAAGGGTAGTGGAGACGATGATCGGAGATTGATGGAGGCGTTGATGGATAGGTCGAAGGTGGGAAATAAGCTGTAACTGTGACTATGCGGATCGTGGGGGGCAGGCTGTTGATACGCTTACTCGAGAGCTTAACCGGGGATTAATTTAGGCATACTTTTGAACAACGTAGGAAAACACGAGAAAAGCGGTCTTCTCGAGGATCTTCTTGCGTTTAAGGGGACAAGTCCATAATATACATTCGCAATTCGCAATACGCTCAAACATGAAGTCTGATTAAAAAAAAAAGACCAGCAGTAGATGCAGCCCGCCCATCCGAGATCCCCGCGCGTCAAAGCGTCACTGTGATCTCGTAAGTAATAAAATATCCGATTATTATAAAAAATAATCATACTATGATATATCCTTCTCCCCTTTCCGTAAACAAGAGAAAAATCCTAGAGACATGATCTAACGTATTTTCGCAACTATAACCTTAGTTGCGCCTCTCATTGCATTTCTTTGTCCCACCTTGTTCTGTTTTTTTATTTTTCTTCTTTTCTTAATTTTTATATACGCGTTCGCGCGCGCGTTAGTTTGTAAAAGTACCGTTATAAGATGTATCTTAATAAATCTTTCATATGATCTCGCGGAGGTATCAATTGTTAGGCGAATTCAGCGGCCGACGCCGTTCGTTTCTGCCCGTTCGCGTGCAAGAAACCTATTTCTCTATCTTTCTCTCTCTCTCTCTCTCTCATTCT